ATGCAAGCAGCATCTGCAAAGCTAAACATTGAATGGTCTGTATATACCACCTAATCAACACAACGAGAAGGACAAAAGAAAACACAGACAGATAATGCCTAACTCCAAATAACCCTTTCTCTCTTCCCATCATAAGAAACACGCAAAAGAAAGAAAAGAAAGAAGATAAATCTCCTGTTAGCAATGAAACTGCAGCAAAGGCAAACTAATCAGCGCAGCGACGTGGCTGCGCTCGATCTGCAGATTAAATGCGTATAATTCTTTCGTAAGAGTAGCAGGAGAGTTGCAGAAATAAAGATATTTAAACATAAACATGAGCATTGTCTATACACTCAATTGTTCTACTCTAATCCATTACACATCCTTTCAACTCAAAGTTGAATATACATGCATAAGCACTAACACAACCCAATACTATGCCTATATCAATACACAATATACATATATACATATATATGTATATATTTACATTTATATTATTCATATATACATATACATTTATATTTACATATACATTTATATTCATATTTACATTTATATTTATATCTTTATTTACATTTACATTTATATATATATATACATATATATTATATACACTTACGCGGTATCCTAGATGTCTGGCGTGAAACATGGATTCATGTGCGAGTGTGCTGGTCGTTTGGTGGCCGTGCACAATATCCACTTTCTCCCGAATCAATATCGTCCTAAGCCGCAATAAGCATACAGAATATATATACATATACATTCATATTTATATTTACGTTTATATATATATACAGAGATACATACATACATACAAATACATACATACATATATATATATATATATATTGGTAGGTCTACGCATAGACATTATGTATATATACTATGCATATAGATGCATGCATTATATATGCATATATACACTAACAATATACCTATATAAAAGTATTATGAAAGAAGAGGCTAGTGGGTAAGCAAAAGTGCAGCATGAAGATGCGGCAGCAAGTGAGTTGTCTGTCTGCACTGGATTTGTTTGTTTGTTTAGGCTAGCAAGCAGAATATTAGTGTACGGATGGGGGAGGTCTTATGTTGTTCTTTTGGTCTTTAGAATTGGAGTGTACAGGCACCTGATGAGAGGCAAAGTTGTGAAGAAAGTAACGAGAGTACTTCTGTCGTGAAAGCAAGTGATCGGGAGATAATAAACTTTAATGCCTTCAGTTAAATACCGAATTCCGTGGCGTCCATCGATTGCATGCGTTACAACAACAACTTTAAACCCTGAGCAAGAGAGATAAACAAAAGAATAAAAACAATTAAGACAACGACAGAGGAGCTGCTGGCACGAGTTGCTGTTATCTTCGTTCTTCTTACCCTTTCTCGCGAGCCTCACAGAGAGTTCATAGATGTGCATCTCAACGCCTCCCAATGAAGGAAAGAAGAAGTCCGAGACCATACAAATGCAGATCCTTCGTGGGCGCAGCGACTCAGACATAATACAGTTTGTAGCTCCACAGCCGGCATTATAAGAAGAACAAGAAGAAGAACAAGAGGAAGGTGAAGATGAACAACACGTCTCCTCTTGTGCTTCTTGTGAAGGCGTTCTGTGGCCACAACTGGAGTTAAGAGATGTACAAGCGGGAGTTGCATCTGCTGCTGCTGTAGCGTCGGCGGTTGGTGCGCTGCAGCGGCACTGGTCTTTCTCGCTATTTCTGCTGTACGTTGAAGGCCTTTCTTCACAGTGATGCATGCAGCTAGGAGCAGGCATATGCTCCTCCTTGCATGCATGCGAATGGCAGCAGCTGTGCTCGTTGCGGCAGCAGCAGCACTGCTGCTGCTGCTGCTGCTGCAACCCTCTCGCACATCCCCCTGGTGCTTCCCCGTTTCCCCAATCTGAGTTCGAAGCCTCTACTGTTGCTGCGTCAGTTGCGCAGCAGCAGGAACGAGAGCAGCAGCAGCAGCAACAGCAGCAGCAGTCTGCATGATTATCATCTGCAGTTGCATAACACGCATTTACCAGCGGTCGGCCTGAGCTCCTGCCTTCGCCCCCCGCGCCTTCAGGCGCCATTAAGAGAAATATATGAAAATTACTAATGAAAAAGCAATAAAATTTGCTTAAATAAGAAGAAAGATCCTCGAGGTTCAACGGCCAACCCCCAGCAAGCAGCGTGAGCTGTCGGCGGAGGTGATGCGGCCTCTTTCTTATGGAAAAAGATGCAACAATGCGAAAATTTGAAAGAAAAATGAAAGTAAAAATAATTGTTGACGTGAAAATAAACAATTCCACGCAAATAAACGCTGTTTACTAACCTCCAGCTTCAAAGGCAGCCGCAAGGGCTAACAAAACGTGTAGGAGTGTAGAGCCGTCACCCCTCACACACAGCGTTCATGGAGAAACACAAGAACGAATAACACAAAAAGAATTGTTTTTATTTCTATTTTCTCGTTACGTTCGATGTTTTATCCTCTCATACAACAACAAGGGGGGCTGTCTGGTTGCTGTGCATGCAAACACAGCGCCAGCAAGACTCAGACAAGAAAGCAGATGTGGATTTGATGTTCGCTGAATAATATCTGAGTGTAAACAAGAGAATTCATTTATTAAGCGAAGTATGTACCATTTATAGCTAAGTTTCTCTTTAAGAGCATTGAAAAGAGCTTTTGTGCTCGCGTCGCTAAGGCGTACCACACGAATATTACTATTGAGAATAATATAATTGACAGCGAAGGCAACAGCGCATTGAATGTTTGCAAATAATAACTCAAAACAAGTGCAGAATTAAATTCAGGTGTACAGCCAGCGCGCAGCACCGTATGATCGTGCAAGCTCCACAAGAAATGCTGCACACTATCGGAAGTATATACATACACAAATAGACGAGACAAACAAATCGACTAACAAATCGAGGAAAGCACGATACTGCTCAATCATCAATAAGCGTCTCAAGCGCGAATAAAAGAAAAACTACCCTCTCCCCTAAGGGATCTCCATCTACACTCCTCATTATATATATATATATGTATATGTATATATTATATATATATTCTGTTTATTAAGTACGCAAGGCAGACACCACTGCGCTCTTCGCGTGCGAATTATCTTTCTTACACCCCTCTGAATACTCACGAGCGAGCCCTTCGCAACTACACTGCTTTGTTAGTTGGATCTTTTTAATGCAGAGAGGAAAAAAAGAGAAAAACAAGGATAAATGCAATAAATGTGTTATTGTCGTCTCCATCTCTGCTTCTCTACTGACCTAATTAAGGCATCGCCTTACTGCTGATGCTGCTGTACTAAGAAGTAGCAGCAACAGCAAATGCTGCTGCTTTCATTTACTACAATTGCTACTGCTGCTGTTGCTTCCCTCAATGGATAGGAATAGATAAAAGGATACACAGTGCCTGTATTTCTTCATTATTTATTCTTTTTTCGTTCCTTTACACCTCAAAGATGCAAACCGAATGCAGCGGAGCCGCGTTTGGTGATAGAAATTAGAAATGCGTTTAATGGGGAGCGGCTCACTGGTTGCTAGCATCAAATGCATATAAGTTTAATCGTTCTTTTTTAATAAATAAATAAAATGTATTTATTTATTATTTATATTAATTATTCTTGAGCCGTCTTTTTTACTAGTTAAGAGGCGATCCTGGCGTTTGCTGCTGCAGCCTTCGCACGCGCAGCATGCACCATTCTCTCTTTTTGAATCATGTGGCAGCACAAATCCACTTTGTCTAACAGCCTGATACGAAGCAGCATCACAGAGATCATCAGAAAACAAATGCATGCATGCACTGTACACACACCCATATTCCCCCATTGCAGCCACCATATATATAGAAAAGAGAACAGCAGGAACTGCCTGAGCCCTTATTCGGGTAATGCAGCGAGTCGCTTGCGAGTGCACTGGGGGAAAAGAAGAAAGCGAAGAGATCAAAAGCAGAAAAGGAGGGAAGGGGGGGAAGCATGAGGGGAGCACCAGTGGCCTGACCACTGGTCACCTGAGGCAGACGTACTTAGACAAGGAAGAAGACCATTCATCTAAAACCACCAAATCTGTTTTAGGTTTGCCGAAGGCGACTGTACGTGCAGGTCGATCGATCTTCGCATCTAGCACTTCACCGCTCGCTAATTCAGACAACTCCTTCTCTGCCTCCTGTTGCAAGCAAACGCAACATAGTTATTATTATTGAAGCAATAAAAATTAAAATAATAATAATAATAATAATAATAATAATATACAAAGATCGGATTTCATCTTGCCCAGCATGAAATAAAAATGATGAAGTCGATATATGGACTTACAACACTATAAACATTGAACGTAACTTGCAAGGCCCACCACAACCCCCCAAGAAACAAAAGATGTGTTTGCATGAGCCCACGTTTATCCTGTGCACGCATGCATGCATGCGTGCGTGCGTGCATGCAGAGAAAGCGGGTACTGCAGCCCCCAGTCTTTCAGACCCACCTCTTCGTCAATGCCAAGCAAAGAAGCAACCCGCTGCAGTTCAATCACGCTGTAGTGTTCACTTAGAACGCGAAGATTCTGTAGATGCAGCGCACAGTGAAGCTCAAATCTCCCATCATTATGGTGTATGTACAGAACATTCAGGTGTATGTATACGCATGTGCAGATCATTCAGGTATATGTATGCCGCATTTTTCAATAAAAAATAAATAACTTCACACAAAATATTAATATTCCTACTATATGAAAATATAATAAGAAAATATCTTGTTTAAAAATCAGAAAAAAAAGTATTGTGTCCGATTACTTCTTGCACAAAAAACGAGTATATTTGACTTATTATTTTTTGTTTTCCATATTCACTGCATGCATCCCGAAAGATATTATACATGCAAATCTGTTACCTACATGTTGAATTACGCGTTTACGCAGCAAAGTCCATCTCTTCGCGCCTCTGAGAAACAAAAAAACTCACATACACCTCAACGCCACATCAGCATAATGCAGATACACCACAACACGAAGATGTACATATAGCCCAAGACGAAGATGTAGATGATACACCGCAAGACGGAGGCGAGGATACACCACAGCACCATACGCAGATCCAGCTACATCCAGCTACATTAAAAGACTGAGGTGTACATACACCTTAAAAAGAAGCCTCCCCTCACCCTGCGAATTTTTCATCTCCGAAGGCAGCGTGATTATGAAGATGTTCATCGTATGGCAACGGCCATGAGAGCAGCTCAACACCCGACAAGTCCTTCAAGAGTTGTCTGTAACAGAAATAGAAACAGCAATAATAATATTTAGAACTGTAAGAACCTATATAGCAGTAATAATTATATAAGTAAATCTGTAGTGAAACATCGGATTAGAAAGTCCATGAGATACAAATACAGACAAAAGAAGTACGCATTCTTCATCACTCTCAACATCAAGCGGTGGTAACAACTGCAGCATCAGCAGCAGCAGCAGCTCCTGCTGCTGCTGCTGCTGCAATTGCAAGTAGCTGCAGCTGCACAAGAACCTTCTCATGTATACATGTCTAGCAGTTGGATAAAGGAAAGAGACGAAAAAGGGGAAAACTTACTCGAAGGTGGGCAGCTGCTGCAGCTTCTTTATCTCTGCACCATTTAAAACGCAAACGCATGCAAACAAGCAGCAAGAACATGCAAATGCAGGAGGATCTGCTGCAGCAGCAGCTGCTGCTGTCAATACACTTCGGAACCCAAAAACTCCCCCTCCCCGATTGTGGCAGCTACTAATGCATGAGAATTTTCAGAAACTATTCAATAATTCATTAATACTTATGTCTACAGAACACGAATAAGATCTTGCATTTTGATAAAGAGTGGTCAAGCAGACAGCAGAAGCTAAATGAACTTTGCTTCTAAACGAACGCCTCTGGCGTCCCACGAACACGTGCTGCAGCAGCAGAAGGCAGCTGCAGCAGCAGACAGTAGCTGCAGCAGCAGACGGCAGCTGCAGCACCAGATCCCCCCTCACCCTCTTTTAAGGTCTTTTCAATGAGCTCCTTAGCCTCCTTGTCGTACGGCGCGAGGACCATAAAAATAGCGAAGAACTCCAAACACTGCAGACAGCAGAAAGTAAAGAAATGCAACATCAAATGTTTATCTTCACTGGAACTCGTTTCTGGAGCGAGTTAAAGCGAAAATAGAAACAAATATATAAATTGTAGAGGGAAAAGCAACTGAAGAGACCCTTTACTTTTTTAGAGACGTTTGATTCCGTTCCGGGTTTCAACTTGCGGTGTACGTACACCCCACCTCTTTCATTTTGGCTGGATCATCTTGAATACTTTGCGTATTATAAATATGTCCGAAGCATTTTGCAACATCGAGTAGTGCGTTTTCATGCAGATAATAGAGCGTCATGAGTTCATAGAATTTTATCTTCAGAGGATGAAGATCAGCAGCTTCCAGCAGCTTAGGGCTCAGCTTCTTGCTGACGATCTGACAGCGGATATAATCTGATCGCCTCAGTAACAACACCATTTGCTTCAGAATGTACTTCGTCTTCTCCTCCCGCTCCATCGCACCGAAAGTTTCCACCTATGCATACAAACAACACGCAGCAAATATACTCAATAGGAAGCTGCCCCACTAGACAAAGCAGCAAATAACAAATGCAGCAAACAGCTCCATTTGAAAAAACAGCAGCACCGAGCCACCCAACCGCTACACCCAGCAGGGCTCGTCTCTAAAATAGAAGACAGGGATAGAAAGAAGAAGAAGCAGTACCAGAGGAAGCACAAGCACAAGATCATTAGTTCTTACTTCTTAGTATGTACAAGAGAAGATATTTTGTTCTAATAGAGACTACTCACCTGGACGTCCTGCAGCATCAGCGCAGCCTCCTCTACTTTCCCTGCTTTTTCCTTCATCAGTGCAGACAGCAAGATGAGTCTGGCGCGTTCAACTTCTACAAATATCTGCATGCAAGCAAAACAGAGGCAGCAAAGAAGAAGATCAGGAGCAGGAGGAACAGCAGTCCTTTAGCACCAGCTACAAAGCAGCAGCAGCAGCAGCAGCAAGAATTTGCATGCATATAGCGATAGATCTGGGGCTGATAGTATAATTTTGTTTGTTTATCTCACCTTTCCCTCGGTTGCTGTTTTTAGAGATTCTATGAAGTGTGCTTTGTCTGTGGGTTTAAGGTATTTCAAGAGCTGCATGCTGAAGCGAATGACGGCGCAGATGCTGCGTTTGAGCTGGCCTCTTCTTTTGATTAAAACAATTACTTCTTGTGCAAAGGCTTCAACTCCCCTTGCATCTGAGAAGGTGACTGTGCACCCGGGTTCTTCTTTATCAACATTTTCGAGGGTTTCTGGGTCTAATGCATCCACCAACAACTCTGCTTCAGGATCAAGAACTATTTCTTTCTTCTCTGCATCCTGTACTTTAACAAAACAACGCAAATAACATGCACATAGACGAGAGCCGCTCGCTCCGTCTTGCGCCTGTCTGCATTTCTTCTCTAGGGCAAGGATCTCGTCTCCAAACACTTGAGCGCCACGCAGACCTTCCGTCTGAAGAAAACAGAAAAACAAAACGAAACACAAACAATTGTAGACAAGTTGCAACACAACCAATCCATCAACACAACTAAAGGACTGTACATACACTTCCTAGGTTGAAGACGCAACAAATGGTTGTGAAACGCAAACAAACACTTATTTTATTTCCCTGTAGGCATATGCAGGGGAGAGAAGGCCTCTCTACTACTCTAACTGTGTCTGCGTATACATGCATATACATATATATAGATATGTACGTAAATGCTTTTTAATATATGCATGCATACACTCCTTCGCCCCTGGAGACTTGCCTGTCTCGCTTGTTCAACGCGTTGTATAAGCGCATCTGCTTGCGCTGAGAAGTCTTCTGTCTTTTTCTCTTCTCGAAGGCCTAAGGCCTCCTCATCCTTTAAAATAGCGCTGGCTGTATCCTCCGCCATTGTTATGTTTCCTCAGCACCAGCAGCAGCGGAGAGGGATTCCCCGAGAGGGGAAAAGCTTCAAAATAACGACCGCAGCAACAGAGAGAAGATAAAAAGAAATAAAGTGCTGCAGAAAGGAAAGAAATTAACCTGACTTTCTTTTAAACAACTCGGAGGATTGCCTCAACCGACAAAACTCGCAGCACCGACACCACACCTCAGGTGTATGTACGTACGTGTGTATACAGCAGAAGGGGTGTTTCAGATTTTGAGGTGTATAAACACAAACATAACTCCAAATTACTAACGCAATTTGAATACACAAACATAAAAGAGAAATATCCTTTCTAATCCTGTGGCTGGTGGCGCTGTCCTGACCGAAGTCCCACAGGCAAATTGCATGCGCGAGACTTTTCGAAGAAATGTTCGGCCTAGACAACGAATGGTGGTGGAAAAAGGTGAATAAACAACAAAATTGCATTTATATTCCCAAATAGATAATAAGAAAAGAGAAAAAAAACAGAAAATACAAACTTGCTAACTTCGGGTTGTGCACTTGAACTGGCTGAGAAAAGAAGGAAGAAGCTTTTATGCAAGAAATGTAAACAATTAAATAAAAGAATTAAGAAAAGAATGAATAAACTTGCATGCAAGAAATCTAAACACTCAACTTCAAAATATGAGGAGGCCATAGTAGAATAAGAGCGCCCTAAGTCATTCTATAGGCGTGGTTCGCCGTCGTTGCTTGCTGAATGTTGTACAATTGGCACTGCTGGTAATGTACGCTGTTCTATCTGGAGTTGGTGTTCACGTGCATGCAATGCCTGGGCGTAGGGTGGAGAGCAAGGGCTAACAAAGTGCTAGACAATTGTCTATAGAGTTAGTACCTGCACCGAAGGGGGCTGGGTTATGCATGCATGTGGGGTTGCCGTGCAGCAGGAGTTTCAGGTCGGCGTGTTGCAATTCATCTTCGCAGCACCAACTACAGGTGCTGGTGCCACTATGATCAGGACTTTCATAGACTAGAGCGGTGGTCGGCTTCCTTGGGGGAAGCTTTCATCTTATTTCCTTGTCCCTATTGCAACTCACCACGGCTACATGCTACGAGAGAGGGTCTTCATTACACTTAAAAGCACCGAACGTTTCATAGTGGCAGGTGAAAGGAGGTAGGTTTACGCCTACACGAGGTCAACCCAGCGCACGGCCCTTGGCCAAGAGATGTCAGGTATTCTGCTTAAAATCCCTGTTAAAGTCAGCCCTTATTATCTCCTGCATTGTGAAGATTGGTCAGAATATACGCTTCAGTGGGGGGTAGACCAAGGGCTGCGTGTCTCGTTTCCCTGGAACGAGCGCAGTATCTGCATCCCCTTCAAGGAAAAATGTCTCTTCAGCAAAATCAATTTCTGCAGATTGTCTCAGCCTTTGCTGACCGTTCAAATATAGCGGGGGTCGCGATGATAGGCCAGTGTAGGAGCCTTTTGGTTCTGTGGAGCTGTAAATTCGTCTTGCAAATTCAGCCGAAGAGCTAAAGGTCGTACTACCGCCTTCGCTATTTAGTAGCGGACGCACAACAAGAGTGAAAGCCCAGGCTGAGGAGGAAGAAAAACGTTTTGCAAATGGCTCAGATATGCAGACTATGTGTATTGGGGTTGTGGCTGTGGATCCCAGCGCTCCCCAGAGAAAGATAAGAAGCTAGAACAAGAGGTATTCGGCGCTAAGAAACTCCGGAGGGGGAATACCGAGCAAACGAGCTTGTTTCTTCTGCCATGAAGACAGCCGCACAATTCGAAGTTTCAAGCTTACGACAAAACCCAGGAAACAGAAAATCTTATCTAATTGAGAAGCCTCAACGTGGTAGGGGAGAAGGTCTGGCCTTGACGCAAAGTGAGGCGCTGTGATAATATCAAATGAGGCGCTAGGCAGCCGCACCATCAGATCCACTTCGTCTCATCTCTGTGTCTATCCAAGTTCATACGGGTGGTCAGGAGTTTCTATATTCCCTCGAACTCTCCCCGCAAACAAGGAGCAGCAACATCATTGCGAGAAAGAACAACTGGAGTATATTGGGGCCCTGGGCACGCGTGTAAGGACGCAGAACGGTCATGCATGCAGCGAATATTTAATGTTATACGGCTAGAATACAACAACTAGAATGGGTATCTGAGAATCGATTCTGCGAAAATATTGCTTAGTAAAATATATATTGACAATTGTTCTGTCTAGAGGGTAAGGGAAATCCTGTGTTCGCATCCATTTGCTCTCCGGCACTGTAGCCTAGAGGCCTTCGTTTATCTACTTGTTATCTCGATACCTCAGCAAACAACCCTTTCTTTTTTTGCATACTTTCCAGCAGATCTCTCTTGCTCACACACGCTTTGACGCCACTCCTCAGTGATGGTTTACTACATAGTTTTTGAATGTTGGGATGTATGAAATATGTCTGTATGTATGAATAGACTTGCCTATAATGCAAATCTTGCATTATATGCAAGTCTGCTCAACTCCTCTTTCCTCGTATCCACTAGCACTGGCAGACAAGCACTTCAGTTGCCGTCAGTAGCTCCGATAAAAACAAATAAAGAAGCACTTTCTCATCTATCTATTCAGCTCCCCTGAGCGTTCAAGTTTCTTTGCCTACTTTAATCGCATCTCCTTAAGGGCCACAACTCCTTGTTATTATCATTAATCTGTCGTGAAGGGGGAAATTGTTTTATTAGTTAGCGCTATTCAGATTCTGAAGGAAAAGATGTTGCAGCATTATCCGTGTTGGATTGATTCCCAGATAGAACAGCAATTGGGTAGAGTAATAGTTGATGCTCAGAATGTCTTTAAGTTGTAATATGAATTAATGAGAGACTTTTCAAACGTTTTACAGAAAAGTTTAGTGATAAAAAATATAAGAGATAGTTTTTTCCTTCTCTTCACTTCACTGAAGATGGCCGCGACCGGCGAACCAACCGATGGTCTTGCAACAAATTCTTGAAGGCACAGCTTGCTGAAGAATTGGAGTGTACATTTGAGAGATTTCGATTAATAAATTGAATGATCTAATATTATTTTATGATAAATGCAGCATTATTTGAATTTTTAATCTGGAATACACAACGAATCCATCTGCTTCCGCGGGGCCTCCAGCGGCACACCCGCTACTAGCCAACGTCGGTTGCGCGTGCATGCAGGCGTTTTTCTTAAGTGCATTCTTCAGCGATTTTTCTGTATAATTAACTCTAATTTTCATTTAATACATTGATCAAAGGAAGAAGATCAGTTTAAAGGCACAAAGACTGCCGGAATTCTAACGGGTCTTGGCGCTTCTTGCGTCGATTGGTATTGTAAGCAAATGAAACATCTCGACCTCATTTCAGTATATTCAAGTGTATTGTATATTAACTGTCAGACTACTCTAAATTCACTGTAGGGTCAATGACTGCATCTTCCGCTTTATTCACACTTTTCCAGAGAACGAAATGTTGAGGGATTAGGGTGAAGCGACTGCATTTAGAGCTTCCGTTGTCTTTTTCTTTGGGGTATTTCACGATATAAATGCTATATGAAACAACAAATGGAGCTGATCTTCTGCTGATGTCTGGCGTTTGTTTCACTATGACTTCAGCAGGAACCTCTACGGCGGCGGCCTCGTCGTTTGCTCGATAAAGGAATCCATTTTATTAGGGTGTATATATACAATAATGGCAGCACCGGAAATTACCGTTCAAACCCCTCATGCGGATGAGGCGGCTTCTCACAGTGACAATACTGAGGAGGAGAAGAAAGAGAAAACAAATGACGGCGGCAAAGCATCCAATGCACCGTAAGCATTTAGAGCAGCTTTTCAGGTGTACGTACACCTCTGTCTTCTCCCTTACCCTATAGTTTCTAATATATTCATTCATATTTCAGATGGTGTCAGCCGTGAAGCAGTTATTGACTCATAGGTTTCCTGAACAGCTGCACGATGAAGAGGTCTCTAGGCACGTACAAGCCGCTGCTTGAATGAAGGCTTTTTCTCCTGTCTTCCTCTAAACCTTTCTCCATTTATATTCATTTAAATATGTATCTGAAAAATAAATATTTTCAGCATTTATTGCACAAAGTTAGCTCGTTAGAAGTATGCAAATTTCTTCTTTCTGGTGTTTTCCTGCAGTACTCCCATCTCAGGTCTCGCCGCCCTAGCAGCTGACGCGTGAGTTATATATATATATATATATTATTTATCTGCTTATATATTTGTATTCATATATATATATATATGTATTCTATTTCTGGTGAAATACTTAATTTATGATAAAGGGAACAATAAAATCTAAGCATTATAAATATAGAAAACGATGAGAGGAAAATCATTCCTTGCATTCTCATCGAAGTTATTCAAGTTGAAATCTATCGATAAATTTAAAATAATTTATCTGTAGAAAATAAGAGTTTCTTAAGAGCAATCTACGTCTTTTCCGCCAATATGCATAAATAATATATATATACATATATTTGTACATATATTTATGTTGCAAAAGATGATTGTAATCAACACCATATATATATTATATACACCATATATATTATATATATACATATATGTTTACTTTAAAGTGCTGCTTGCAATGCTGCGCTTGACGTGTGATGCTTGTTATTGTGTCTGTTGTTGATTTCTGCATTATATTCAGAGGTAGGAAGATGCACACGCAGCCTATTCGTGTGTTTGAAGGAAGCGGCAAAATGGGAGCTGCAGGAAGTGCAGACAGCAGCCCCAAACCTGCGGGGTCTCCTCTTCACGGAGCTGCGTAAGTAGCTTGATTATTATTTCCTTTGCTTTTACTCTTCTTTAACACAAGTATAGGGCTTTCTATGGATTACTACGAGGGTTCACGGGGCTGTACGGGGGGCTAGAAGGGTTTAGGGTTTAGGGTTTAGGGTTTAGATCACCCTGGTTTCTGTAGCCTTTCCATGGCCTTTAAGATATATGAAGCAAGCCTCAGCTTATATAACATAAACACTAAACCCTCTTAAACTTTTTAGGCGCTTGTCTCCTTCTGCTTTTGTTTTAGTTTAACTGTTTTTTTTTTGTTTATGTGGATGAGACAACTGCATGCATGCGGGTGTATGTACACCAGGAAGGGAAGCTCACGTTGCATGCAAGATGTTGAGGGATTATTTGTTTTCTTTTTGTTTTTTGTTTCAGATCGCCAGTCGTCGGCGGCGTTCGAGTAATGCCAGCGGCAGACGAAGAAATGCGCAAAATTCTGTGCGTGAACTTACATATATATATATATATTTATTTATTTATTTATTTGATTCAATATAATAAAATAAATTCTATATATTATAAATATATTTGTAGGCATGTAAATGCGTCTATTTGTGTGATTGTGCATAGAGACATAGAAGTACATATGTATACTTGTACATATATATATATATATATATATTATATACATATGTATGTATGCATGTTATTGTTATTAAATATTGTTCCGTGCGCGTGAAGCCATAACAACATAAATAAGACCGATGATTTCCTTCACCTTTTCATTTTTTTATGGTTGTTGCTGCTCTGAGGGAAAGTCAGAGCCTTTCTTTTCCTCCTTTAGATGTAAATTGTTTGTTTGTTTTATCATTTGAACTGCAGGGCTGCAAGACTGCGGAAATCTGAATGAAGTGAGACGCCTGGTTGTAGTGCGGCGTCTTGTTGGGTATTTGAGCTGTCTGTACACCTGAAGATGCAAGAAGGGGAG